AACTGATGCAATCATGTAATAAAATATGGTACAATAACATATGATATATTCATAGTATCTGCTAAAGCAATTAGAATCCATGCAGCTCGATTTCTGTTCATGTATTACTAAAAATGAAAACTATTTCAGCCCAAGTAAGACATATAAGCTATTCAGTTTTAATTGTATACATTGGTCTTAAAATTTCTGGTCTTATTACTTGCATATGTAATCTATTTAACACTCTTTAAAACAGAGAATCATTGAATAGCAATCAGGTTTCAAAAAGCCTGCCAAGTACAGCCAGACAACTGTCTGTGTGTTTTGCTAGATATGACAACATAGAATGTACAGTTATATTAACAAGGGCTTCTTTTCCAAGGCGTCAATATTTTCATACATATACTAGGTCTTGCTCATAAGATAACAGAAACAGCAGTATTGGTGTCTCTCAATATTAATCATATTAAGTTTATCAGATATATTAAATGACTAGTCATTTTTTAATTGACAAATTTTATACATATTACATTTAATTCTTTTTTTGGTCAAAAAGCTTTTGAATGGACTCTGGTCTAGCTATAGGAAAAAATAATTTTCAGTGCATTTTGGGAGTCCAAAGTATTAACATATTTTTAGACACAGGTCTTAATTTCCACTGATGAAAATATAGGCAGACATTTCCACTGTAGCATGAAAGTATTAATCACTATAGGAAAGAATGATTTTATTTTGGTAACTACAAACAATGAAAAAAATAAATTAATAAATTTTTTTCGGGCATTCTAAGTGTTTTATATACATTGTTACAATAAATATTCATAATCAACCCTATGAGATTTTCCTATTCTCCTTATAAAAGGAATCTGAATTTCAGAATGGGTTAGGGGTTGCCTGAGGCCCAGATAATAAAAGGCATGGCCAGGGATAATACCTGATTTCAGTAGCCTTAGACTTCATTACTTGGAAAAGGAAATGGCAACCCACTCCAGTATTCTTGCTGGAGAATCCCCATGAGCAGAGGCGGCTGGCGGGCTACAGTCCACGGGGTCGCAAAGAGTCGCACATGACTGAGTGACTGCACAGACTTCATTATTATGTGTAACAGGTATGGGTTTTACACTACACATATTTGTAGGTAAGAAATATATTTTACTTTCCTACTTAGAAATCAAATTATAATTATTCCAAGCCTCCATATCACTAGGCTGGAAAAGAAATTCAGTGATACCCTTCAGTAGAATCATATAAGAATATAGAATAATTACATGGGAGAAACACAGAAATTTGAGGAAGAGTTCCATTTAAAGGAAGAAAGAAGGAAAGGAAAAGGGAGCTGGCTTTGAACACATTACCTGATACCATGGCAAAGTATAGTTTTTCCTCTCTTAAACCATAACTGACATGCTTAACCTTTCCTCCTATGAAGTCTAATCCTTTACCTTGTAAATCAAATGTTAAACACGAGGCTGCAATACTTTGCTATACCTTGGCACTGTCCTATTATTATTGACTCATGATCCCAGTCATCAAGTGTCTCACATTTTGAGGGATAGCTCCTCTATCTTAGTCAGTATAATACAATGTCTTATGAGGACAAGAAATTTATATGTATATTTATAACAATATTTTTAGTCACACTGTCACTTCCACCTGCTGCTTCCTCTAACCTGTGAGGATTAGTAACACAGATTTTAATATTTTCTATCATTGTGGCAGTAGAGTATATATCAGTTACTGATTATATTTCTTTTGTATTATTTCCTAATTTTTATCAAAATGTATCTAAATATTTGGTAAACTTCTATGCTTTTTCTTAGTATATTGTAAGATATTTCATACCATAATTTTAATATTCAAGTGCCTGTGACAAATGTGTTTTTGTAAATAATTTTATAATTTGGTGACTTATGTAATGTTTTAAATAATATTTCTTTCAAGTTCTGCTAGGAAAGTTTGCCCACAATGGTAATAGCTTGTGTTAAATTTTCATATTTTTGATGTTTTAATATGAGCAATATTAATAGAATAAGAAGAAATTGTGCCTTTTTGCTGCTTTAAAAATATTTTATTCCAGTTTTTTAATCATCACAATAAGCATTTAAGATTAAATATCCTTATCAACATTAACTTTTAGAAACCTAAGGTTCAGAGATATTGGTTGCCCGTCAAAGAACAAGAGCTCCCCTCACTGACCCGACTGGACCTGCCTCCTGACTCACTGCATTCCCACTGTGTGTACGCACGCATTCTCAGTTGCTCAGTTGTGTCTGACTCTTGGTGACCCCATGGACTGTATGTAGCCTGCCAGGCTCCTCTGTCTGTGGGATTTCTCAGGCAAGAATACTGGGGTGGGTTGCCATTTCCTTTTGCAACTTAATGCAGTTCTGAGAAACCCCATAAAATGTTCACTTTGTAAATTTTAGAACTCAGCTAAAGAACCAACCAGTGGGCTTCCCTGGCGGCTCAGTGGTGAAGAATCCACCTGCCAATACAGGGGATGAGTTCAATCAGGAAGATCCCCTAGAGAAGAAAACGGCAACCCATTCTTGGCTGGGGGAACCCACGTACAGAGGAAACTGGCAGACTGCAGTCCATGGGGCTGCAGAAGAGTCAGATGTGACGTAGTGACTAAACAGCAAGGGACAGTCATTGCTGGGAGATAGCTATTTTTCAAGCACAGACCAATGTAAGGAATGCGTAGATATGGTAATTCTCACTCTTAAAGTAATAAAAATGGAGAATACTTTTGGCTTACTTCCTTTTTCACTCTTCTTCCCTAATTCAAATGAGTTTTAAGAGTCATAATTTGAAGCTTTGCCATTAGCTCCATCAGAAATATTAAATGTTAAATAAAGTGATGTGTATTGGCCATAAAATGAACACCATTTATTATTCTAAGAATATAGAAAATGCTTTTATGTGAACAGTAGAGAAATTGCCAAAAAAAGCAATCTTATTTCAGTCTGTAGACAAGTTAATGTGCTACTGGAAAATGCATACATTATTCTGACCTAATTAATTTCAAGAGCATTTATTTGCTTCTGAAAAGAATGCTCAGAAAACCCCCCACTTTATTCCACTGTCTTACAGAAGTCTCACATTCTGAGGACAGGGTCTTAGGCCTGAGTTAGTTTGTTACCTCCTTATTAAGGCCTTTGTTGTAGTGCTTTCTGGCATACTTCCTACCACGTCAAATGTTCAACACTTCAGTTTCTGGGTGCTTGAGCCTCAAGTGAGCAGACTTCCTTGTAATAAAATGTGTCACCTTTGTGCTTATTGTCCTAAGAAAACTATCTCCAGGCACACCTGCCTTAATAAATAATTTGATATTTCCAGCTTAGAGTAATTGATAAGGATAGTTTCAGGTACCTTCTACCTTCCAAGGTGACTAATTTAAAAATGCTTGAGAAGCTTGTAAGCATCAAAGTTTTAGGAATAACAGAGTGGAGGATGTGGCTGCTATGACTACTTCCTTCTGGAAAGTACATACAGAAATGTGAGATAGTGTATCTTCTTACAGACATCTAATATAGTGAGTTGCTGTTTTTCCTCTATGTGAAGGAAGTAAAGGAGTCATTTTGTTTAAATTTAACATTCTTTCAGGAGCCATTACGGTAGCTCTTGGCATACTTATGTGATAAAATGATCACTCTACTCTTATCACTTCATGTTGGGGGAACCCACGTACAGAGGAAACTGGCAGACTGCAGTCCATGGGGCTGCAGAAGAGTCAGATGTGACGTAGTGACTAAACAACAAGGGACAGTCATTGCTGGGAGATAGCTATTTTTCAAGCACAGACCAATGTAAGGAATGCGTAGATATGGTAATTCTCACACTTAAAGTAATAAAAATGGAGAATACTTTTGGCTTACTTCCTTTTTCACTCTTCTTCCCTAATTCAAATGAGTTTTAAGAGTCATAATTTGAAACTTTGCCATTAGCTCCATCAGAAATATTAAATGTTAAATAAAGTGATGTGTATTGGCCATAAAATGAACACCATTTATTATTCTAAGAATATAGAAAATGCTTTTATGTGAACAGTAGAGAAATTGCCAAAAAAAGCAATCTTATTTCAGTCTGTAGACAAGTTAATGTGCTACTGGAAAATGCATACATTATTCTGACCTAATTAATTTCAAGAGCATTTATTTGCTTCTGAAAAGAATGCTCAGAAAACCCCCCACTTTATTCCACTGTCTTACAGAAGTCTCACATTCTGAGGACAGGGTCTTAGGCCTGAGTTAGTTTGTTACCTCCTTATTAAGGCCTTTGTTGTAGTGCTTTCTGGCATACTTCCTACCACGTCAAATGTTCAACACTTCAGTTTCTGGGTGCTTGAGCCTCAAGTGAGCAGACTTCCTTGTAATAAAATGTGTCACCTTTGTGCTTATTGTCCTAAGAAAACTATCTCCAGGCACACCTGCCTTAATAAATAATTTGATATTTCCAGCTTAGAGTAATTGATAAGGATAGTTTCAGGTACCTTCTACCTTCCAAGGTGACTAATTTAAAAATGCTTGAGAAGCTTGTAAGCATCAAAGTTTTAGGAATAACAGAGTGGAGGATGTGGCTGCTATGACTACTTCCTTCTGGAAAGTACACACAGAAATGTGAGATAGTGTATCTTCTTACAGACATCTAATATAGTGAGTTGCTGTTTTTCATCTATGTGAAGAAAATAAAGGAGTCATTTTGTTTAAATTTAACATTCTTTCAGGAGCCATTACGGTAGCTCTTGGCATACTTATGTGATAAAATGATCACTCTACTCTTATCACTTCATGCTCTGTCCTTTAGGATTCATTTATACACTTAATTGCAACATGGTAAATGCCACTGAAAACCACCAAGCTAAACAGACATTTGTCTAATGATATCTAGTTTTTACCCCACTTAAGTTCTATCTCTAAAGATTACACAAATAATAATGTAACTTGATAGTGCAGAAGAATGCTCAACCTTTCTATAATACTTTTATTATAAATAAATTGAATTCTTTTTCTTTTCTACAGGACAACATTTTTAAGCTGCAAGACTCACATTTTGAAAATGGCCGTGGGAAGAGCCCATATGACCCTAAACTGCTGACGGCATCTCTTTTAATAGGTACTTAATCAGCAATCAGTTAAACAGTAAATTTTCTGTAGATAATGGCCAGATATCATGTTCCTTCTTATATACCAACATTTTCCTTTATTAATCGTAAAATCTTCAGAGTATGTCAGTTGAGATATATTCATGTATTTTGAAAATGAATAAGAAGTACTAAATGCTGCTTTGATTTTTGAACTATCTAGTCTATGATTCTTTTTCATCAAAAGATTTAATAGCATCTTTAAAATTGCCTGCCCAATCATGTATATCCCCACTGTTGTTGTTGTTTAGTTACTGAGTCATGTTTGACTCTTTGTGACCCTTTGGACTGTAGCCCAGCAGGCTCCTCTGTCCATGAGATTTCCCTGGCAAGAATACTACAGTGGTTGCCATTTCTTTCTCCAGAGGATCTTCCCGATCCAGGGACTGAACCTGCGTCTCCTGCATTGGCAGGCCGATTCTTTACTGCTGAGGCACCAGGGAAGCCCCACATTTCCACTAGACACTTACAGTTTTTGTGTTGTAAAAATGTGGTTTTGATTTTCTTTGTTTGAAAGAGGTGTTTCAAAGGGGGAATTTTGACAAGTCGGAAGGAAAGATTGAGATTTATTCTCCATTGTTAATTGTAGTCCCAAGATTTGTAACACTTTTAACACTTGGACAACTTAATCAGCACAATACAACTGAATGGTAATACAATTGATAGATTCCCCCTAGCGTTACTTTGATTTGATAAAGTTCTTGTGTGTTCATCTTTTTTGACTTTAGGGCTTTTCTCTTTTCCTTTTTTTTTAAAAATCAAACTTTCTATGTATTTCCTGTATATTTTCCTTTGACCTCTTCCTTTCTAATTTTATTCTTTCCTTTTTTCCTTAAATTTTGCAGATAGGTGGTGAATGTTTAGCCATAGTTCAAAAGGATAGAAATAGAAAGAAGTAGAAGAAGGAAAAAGTTTTAGTTTGTATTGAAAGAGAATTTTTCCACATTCTTTTAACCACTCTGTACTGGGATTAAATAATACACAAAAAGTGTATTGTCATTAAACAGTGTTTTTCTTTTTTTTTCTTTTAATTGTTGAGTATGCCAGCAACCTGAAACACAGAAGATTTGTTTTTAAATAATCATGTAGAAATTATGTAACTTTTTGTTTCCTTTTCCTTTTTTTATGAAACAGAGAAATTATTTGATAACACAACAGCAATAATAGTGAAACTTTTCAGGTATAAACTTTCTTTTGAATTTTGAATAACATATCTAAATTTTTAAAAGGTAAATTTAGGATATTATTTGTTGTATAGTAAGTCCATAAAGTTTTCCCTCTTTTTCCTTTAAAAGATAACTTTTTTTCTCTGTTCAACAAAGTAACACTGGTCACACTGTCTACAGCATTAACTATGAAAATATATTTTTCCAGTATTCTCTAGTGTTTATCATCCTTTCACTGATCCCTTTTCTATTAAGAATAAAACCATTATAGCATGAGTTATCTCTTATGCTGCTTTCGAAATGTAGACAATTTCAAACCATTTGATCCATTTATGGAGCACTTTAACAGAAGTTTAAGACCTGAAGGAATGCAGCAGATGTAACGCGCTTATAATTTCCTATTCACAGATGGCCTAGTGATTACGTGTGAATAACTTCCTTAAGTACACACACAGAAATTTGAAAAGTGTCTTAAACAAAGGAGAGGAGTCCTATTTTGTTTGAAATTGTAGCCTCTACTTGTTTAGATTGCACACTGCAAGCAAAAGGAGAGAGAGAGTTCTCAGAAGGCAGTATATAAAACTGTACCTAGAACAGCTTCAATTTGTGGCGTGTGTCTCATAGGGATCTGCCTGATTATTTATTTTAATATTCCACTGAGAAAGGATGATGACAAGTAAGTATTACATAGTTCATATGGTATGCAACCACACAATGGCCACGAAGAGTATGAAGTGCCACAGTTTTGATGTTATATTAGAACTTCTTTGAAAAAGTTAAATGGGTTTGTGAAAAAGAAAAGAGAGTGAGGGAAGTTGCATGAATCTTGAAGGAGGAGGTATGGCTAAAAAGAGAAGCAGCTTTCAAATGGAAGCCCAGATCTCATCTAGCCAGTGCTGTACAGTGATTGAATAATTTTCAGAGATATTTGCTGCTTATTGACAAAGAAGATGATTCAAGCCAATGTAAGATCATTTCTGAATCAGTTGAATAGCAGGATGCAGAAAAATGAGCAGGCCATACTATACATAGTAAAATCCCTCAAAATATTTGCAGCGCCATGTTAATTCAAAAGCTGTGATTTCCTTTATTGAGGTTATTTGCTTCTTTTAAAACTATGCTATAAAGTCTTCCTCTCACAGTATATTTAATTCCCCTTGTTGGGTTCCTCTTGGCATTTTTTATTTTGCTGCTTTAAAAATATTGTTTAGTAATTTAATGGAGTTCTTTTAACATAAATATTTTCTACACTTCCCAAACTTTTACATAAAAGTCACTGAAATATACAGATTGTATACCATACATTTAAAAAAATGGCTTTGGGGAAAGCTTTCCAGCCAAAATATTTTAAATATGCTCTCCTCATTTTTGCACATAGAAGAAATTTTCAAGGTGGTTCCAAGATGCCTCTTTCCCCAATACTGGGAAGAAGAATTGTACTTTCAGCTCAAAATACTTGTAAACTGGCTAGATGGATCTTAACAGCAGATACTTTTATATCCCCAATCCTTCTGCTAGGTAGTTTTAACATGTAGTAAGCTTTAGAACCAGATGACCACTTAAAAACTTTGGTTTATGAAATCTGTAAGAGTTTAATATAACCTCTTCCCAAACTGCCTTGCGTTTTAAGCTGATAACTTTAGAAAAGATGAATTTTTCCTGAGCAATGCATAGTTACCCAGTTCAGTCCCCCAGGTCTATAATACGTCCCAAAGTTTTCAAATCACCTTAGTATTAATTTAAATTTTTCAAATCTACTTTAATGAAGGGCTTCCCAGGTGACTCAGTGGAAATGAATCCTCCTTCCAGTGCAGGAGACGAGGGTTCGATCCCTGGGTTGGGAAAATCTCCTGGAAAAGGGAATGGCTACACACTCGATTATTCTTGCCTTGAGAGTTCCAGGACAGCCTGGTGGGCTACAATCCATGGGGTCTGAAAGAGCGCAACATGACTGAGCAGCTAAAACATACATGCGCACGCGCACACACATGCACACACACACACGCACGTGTGCACACACACATGCACACACATGCGCACACACACACACTTTCATAATATGAAAGGAGCAGTCAACTTGAAAGCAGTTTTATCTTTCTGAAGTCAGTCATTCCAGCTCTAACATATTATGAGGACCTGCTTCAAGAGTTTGGGACTTTACGAATGGTTTATTTCCCTAAGTTAGCATTCTGTCATGCCTCAGGAAAGAACATAATTTGACATTAGAATATTCTCTCACTTGGTATTAGAGTAAATGAGGTACTCCCCAAATTAATTAACTAAAATTGAGAAAATTATTTGAAGTCTCTGTTTCTTGGTATAAAATGGCATGGCCATGCAAGTTCCACTAGTTTGTTGTTAAGATTTAAATAAGACAATGTAATAGCATACTACATTTAGGTATGTGCATATATCTGGCATATATATGTAAAATAGAAACTAAAAAAAAAACAGAACTAGTAATAGTGGTTGCCTGTTGGGATAAATTTTATATTTTTGTTTATCATTTACATTTATAACTATTTAAAGAATGATGTTAATTTTAAAGGGACAATATGAATAACAAACCCAGTATTTTCATTGGTATAGAAAAGGTGCTCAATAAATGTGAAAATGCAAAAGTATTCCAATACCCTTTCACTTTCACAAAGTAGATTTCATCCATGCCATGTGGTGTGGGTGTGTATGTGTGTGAGTGAGTATGTGTGTAAGAAGAGAGAGAGACATTTTTTCCTGCCTCTGTTTCTAATTACTCTGCTATTCTGTAAGTAAAATTTGCTTAAGGTGTTAACAACATAATGGCTTGGTCTTTAGGTTTGTTTGATTTTTGCTCACATCCATGTCACACTTTACACCTGTGTTAGTAATGCTGTTATTTCATCAGGAAATCTTTTTTTTCCACCTTCTGTTTCTTCTCACCACACCCTTCTTAGGAATTGTAATCCAATACATCAACTGATCTAAGCCACATTTTTACTTCATTTTGAGCTGTGAACACAAAATACAGAGTACACATGAACTTTTGTTTTTTAACACTGCTTCTCAGGTAACGCTGCCATGGTGGGAATACAGTCCACTAAAATTTTTTGTTCATCTCAGGAAAGAATCCTTTCTTTAGAGATAGGTAAGAATGCTTACAGTTCAAAAAGAATGGCATATACTCAAATAGCAACTTTCATATTTGACAATTTCTAGCATGTTATTTATATCCATAAGCACTAATTTATCTTAGTCTGATATATTTTTTTGAGACATCTAATTGTCTATATGGTATTTTTGTAGAAAAACTTAAAAATTTTTTGGACAGAGTATCTGCAACCACTTTTTAAATGTGTATCACAATTCCTTGCATGTATTATTCTATCATCAATTTAATAAAATTGGACAAATATATTTTCTTTCAGTAGTAATTTAGTATATTTGGAAAACCCAAAAGTATGTATCTTAACCATAATGCAATTTGAACCATTGTAGGCTAACCTATATTTAACATCATAAAATTGAAAAATTATACATATAATTTGATAACTTAATAGATGACATCAAACATACAAAAAAAGCTTGGCAAATGGGCTTTTTAAATTTTTTTTTAAAAAACAACAAACATATTGTTTTCCAAATATAAGCCAGCGAAGGCATAGTAGATTTATTCAACTCAGATAGTTTGTTAGATCATTTCAGATAGCTGGAGAGTATAATAAGTCTTTAATATAAGGTGGTAATACACAGTTATATAAATGCAATATACTCTGAGCTGATACATATCTTCTTAAAGAGAATGCAAGAGTAAGATATGCTACCATCTATACAATAGGGCCAAATAACAAAGTGGGGTTTGTTCCCCAAGGATGAGGAATCAGCATTGATAAGAATCCTATAGACCTCTGAGCAGAAAATCTGATCTAAGGCCTGGTGTTAAGGTATAGTTACTGACACTAAGCACTGACAGTATTAGAATGTGCCCTCCCGGCCACCTAATCATCTGATGACCTCCAGCTCTTACATGTTATGTTGACTCTGGCTAAAAATAGTGTTTGAGTAGGAGGTAACTTCCTATGACTGGAGGCAACTGGTGCTTTAACTGCAACCTTTCTTTGGCTTCTAAGTCAACTCTTCATAAATTATATTTTTGATGATAAATTGAGCTCTTCTACTGATGAACTCTCTACATTCTCTTGTCCCCCTACTTATCTCTTGTCAAAAGAGAAATAAAATGAGTCTTTCTGCCTTTGCACTCATTTATTTTGATTTTTTGCCCTCCTCATGTGGGAATAGATTAAAAGATAATCATGAGTTTTAACAAAGCTAAAGAAATGAATATGAGAAACAAACACCTTTCATATTCAAATAATATTTATTTGGTTGTAGTTTTTGTTATTTCATCCTCTGGAATAGAGTTTACATATAATAGCAATCATAATTATGAATTTTACTCACATTGAAAAAGCTAAATGAAAAAAGAAGATTAACTCATGATATTCTTTACTCTTCCATTTCTTAACTTTAATTAAGTAAAGAGAAGACAAAATGTTTTTGAATCCCAAAGATACCACAGTATGCAATATACATCAATTTATGATGTCCCATGAGTACCATTCATAGAGCTGGTGAATTTTACTTAATATATTGTCAGACCATCACTTTTGACTTGATTCACAACAGTTCAGAGTAAGTGATCCAATTTTAAAAACTCAGTCTCTAAGAGAAGCTATCTTTTTGTTAATATTTAAAGTCATAACTTAGAGTTACTCAGTGATTCTGTCTGTGTAGCTATCCTGTACTGCTTTGGACGTTTTCCAAAGCCTGGTGCATTCAAACACATCAAAGAAACAGAGGTTCTACCAGAGGAATTAATTTAGTTTAAGCTCAGTCATGTCCAACTCTTTGTGACCCCACAGACTATAGCCCACCGGGCTCCTCTGTCCATGAAATTCTCCAGGCAAGAATACTGGAGTGGGTTGCCATTCCCTTCTCCAGGTGATCTTCCCAATCCAGGGATAGAACCTGGGCCTTCTGAATTGCTGGCAGATTCTTCACTGTCTGAGGCACCAGGGAAGCCAAATTTAGTTTGGACTCCTGAAAATGTCCATTTTCATTTCAAAGACCTTTCTTTTCAAGTGAGAACTGTAGGTGTGAATCAAGGATATCACATAAAAGATCAGATTAATACGACTTTGCAAAAAGTATTGTTAACTGAGGATGTACAGAAAGTTTCTGATTGATACATACAAAAGTCCTGTGGAAATTACAGTAGTATACTAATGTTTAACTTATAATTTGTGTATGCCTACTTTGTTTTCTGAGTACTTCTCAAGTCAGTGATTTGGAAACATTAACCTGTCCAAATAATCAACAAGATAATATTAATTTTTACTGTCGTTATGGTAGATTATTTGGAGAAAATATTTATTGTTTTTCTGTTGATAATTTACATAAGCAAGCAGGCAGTAATGCATTTTCTGGGTGGAATAATATGAGGCATTTTTTATTTAAAGGAAAGAAAATGCCAATTTTACATCAGTTTATGAAAAGGCGATATGATATATATTTAGTATAAGAAACTTGGGGCTAAATAGACTTGAGTTTGAACTTTTACCTTGTCTTGCTAGTCATTCAGCTGAGGAAACTTGGGTTTCTTGAACTGTAAAATAAGGATAACATGTACACCATAGGGTTGTTGACAGAGTAAATGAGATAATTTGGAAGTGTCACGCCAGAACCTGACTGCCCCACAAGCCCAAATGGTATGCAGTAAATATTAAGTTCTCTTTCTCCTTGTTTCTTTTTCCTTTCTGTTTCAACCTGCTGATTATGATTCTTCCATTATTAAATTCTGTCCTAGAGTTAATTCAATTTAAGTAGAAATGAATCAAAGCACAACAGAATCTTGAGCTATCGTGATTATGGCCTATGTTTATCAAAATCCCCCCCGCTTCAAATACATTTCTGTGGACTTGTTTTATGATTGTATGACAGCTCATACCAAATTAGAATATTTTTCCCACTTGATATATTAAAAAATGGAAGGCAAGAAAATTTTAGCAAGAAAAGTATTAGTCTTCTGTAAATTATAGCAAAATTTCATTAAGTCCCAATAAAAAGGAAATATATTAGAAATTTAATTTTTTTATTAAATCCAAAAGTGTAAGTAATATTTTATGAGACTTTAAAAAATAAAGATATTAGAATCATAGTAGCTTTAAACATATAAAAGCAGACAATGTGGTACATATAATTTTTGTTTCCATTAGTAATGTCCACTGAATTATATTTTACTCAATTTTTCAAAGTTAGTGCTAAATGAGTACTGAGATATTCCCTTCTACAAAGATACAAGATAAATATTAGTAGTTTTGCATAATGATGCAGAGGGTGTTATGATGATCTTAACATGAAACTTGTACTTACTTTTGGTTTATGTTGCCTTAATTAAAGTATGTGTATGTGGATTTATTTTATCACAACACAGACGGAGAATTATACTCTGGAACAGCAGCTGATTTTATGGGGCGAGACTTTGCTATCTTCCGAACTCTTGGGCACCATCATCCAATCAGGACGGAGCAGCACGATTCCAGGTGGCTCAACGGTAGGTGCTACTACTCGCAAGAGCGCCAGCACACGTCATGGCGTCCTTGCCAGTCAGTGGAGAGCTTTTCTCCTGTTGTGCAGACAATATGAGTTGAGACTCAGTGTGCAGTTAAATTCATGGTGATGACTTCATGGCTGTGGGTGTGAGAAAGTGGGGCAAAAAGAGAAAAGAGATTAAAAATTCTGGAAAATATTTGCTTTGTGCCAAAAGTAAAGTTTCTCAGTAGTTAACGACGGAAAAAATTAGATCTGGGCTGGAGCTACGGAAGGGAGACAGTGGAAAAAGATAAGACGCCTTACCAATCTTGTCTTCCAGGGACACCACCACAAATCTCATGTTGTATTTTTTTCCTCCATACCTCTCATGTTGCCTTTAGAGCATCATATAAATTATTAAATGTTTTAAAAATTGTGCTAAACACATTACACTGAAAATATTTTTGAAACATTTGTATCATATCATTTGATTCTCCTTTAATCTTCCTAAAATTCTTTTTTCCACTTTACAGGTTGGGAAATTAAGACTAATATATTAATCTAAGATTGCATCTATGCAGTAGTAGATTTTGGAAAAGAACCTAGTTTTTTGAACTTCAGGCACTGGTGTCACTCCTTGATCAAGCACATACATTTTAAAAAATTTTATTTTTTGAAGTGTAGTTGACTTACAGTGTTGTGGCCATTTCTGCTATACACCAAAGCGATTTGGTTTTACATACAGAAATATATTCTTTTTCATATTATTATTTTCCATTATGGTTTATCACAAAATATTGAATGTACTTCTGTGTTCTATATGGTAGTTCTTTGTTGTTTATCCATTCAACATATGCTAGTCTGCAAGGCAGATACTTTTAAAATTCTTTTTTTAATATATAAATAAATTTACAAATGAAAATGATAAAATATATATGCCTAAAATAAGTAAACACTACTTTTACTCAAATTTTAAACGAAATAATCCTTATGTAAGACTTCTATGTAGAGTTGGTTTTTTTTTTAAATTTCCTTATGCATTCATCAGCGATTTTTATACAGGTCACTCAAATATGTTCATAGATGTTTTTATTATTAAATAAGGATCTCCATTTATATCTGCCCTCAATCCTATAAAATAAAGTTTCCCAGTCCCTAATCTCATTTTCAGGAATTCTCCTTTTCACATACCTCATTAATAAGGATGAAGTTCATAGCTTACAATCCATGTGCTCAGTAAGGTACTTGATTATCTCAGTATTTGAACTTCGGCCACACTTGTTTCTCCTGCTCTTCTAGGGTTACATCAAATTAATTTCATCTCTGCCCTGTTTGTTAGAGAAAAATAAAAATCTGCTTCTGAACCTCAGAAATCCAGGAGACCGTGAGTTGTGGGTGCCTGCTCAGTCGCTCAGTCGTGTCCGCCTCTTCGTGACCCCATGCACTGCAGCCCACCAGGCTCCTCTGTCCATGGGATTTTCCACACAAGAATACTGAAGTGGGCTGCTGTTTCCTTCTCCATTGTTCTCTGTATCCCAACTCTAAACTGACTATTTAAACCATTAAATATACCTCAAATTACCTCAGTCAGCATTCATTTCTCCTATAGCAGCATTTCTGATTGTCCTGTTATTTTTCATGTATTAATGAAAATGATGCGCCTCTTACCTTCCACCTTTGACACTACTGCCTTTGCATTGATTTTTTTTCATCAATTTACCCAATTTACTTTTTTTTGCTGACTTTATCGGTTCTTCACCTCTGATTTCTTCCCTGACCTGAGAACGTGCTCATGTACCCTACCTAAATTCTCCGTTTAATGATGGTGAACCACAAGGTCCCTAAATGTCTTAAGTCCATAGTCGAGTTAAGGAACCTGTTTACTCAACATTTTCACTACATTTAGCTGTTTTCATCCTGACTTTGATCTCATGAAACTGCTCCTCCACTGATGATTTTCTGTGATTTTTTTCTTAAAATCAATCTCCATTTAGACTATCTCTCCCACGGTATTTGTCACTAGCCTTTTCTCTTTAAAAGAGTCTCTATGTTTCCTGTATTTCCTGCTCTCCCAAGTTTACAATTAATTTGACATTATTTGCCAGTTGCTGTCCTTTAAATGAAGATGATACCTAGCTAAGATCATTCATGATTCAGTACAAGCACAGTGGTAATAAAAAGGGACTGGGCATATAGTCAGATACCCCCCGTCTGGGAACAGAGGAGATAGAATGGTACCAGGTGATCATCTGAGAAATTAGAAGCCTCACCAAGGAACAGAAAAGATGCTGAAATCATATTAAGACTCTCTGTAAAGTCATAAAAGACCCAAAGTCTAAAATCCCAGAGGACAGTTTTGGAATATCCACTGTCAATTATTTAACCTATGCTCTGTAGGGACTCAAAATTAGTAGGAACATGTTAATGTATGACAAAAACCACTACAATATTGTAAAGTAATTAGCCTGCAACTAATAAAAACAAATGAAAAAAAAAAAATTAGTAGGACCAAACTTCTTTAAACATGGCTATTTGGTCAGTTCTCAAACTGAAATATTTATGTAGTAGGAGAATTTTTTTTTCAATTCTGCAAGGAGACTTTGATCTACTAAAAACTGTAAAGGGCATACAGGCTTTCACTGTCCATGAGAAAGAAAATCTCATTACAAGATGGAATAACATAAAGGAGAGTATAGTATACATTTCATTTTTATGGCCTTGGTGGAAAAAAGTCATCAAGTTAAAACTGCTTTTGTGCTACAAATTCACATGTTGACAGCTGAGTCTGAAGAATTTAAACTGTGGGAAAACAGTCCACAGTTCTGTACTTCATCTCTGCAAATGTGCAGTTCATTTGAGAATTCAGTTATCAGTCTCTCAGCACTAAATGTGAGAACTGATTTTGCCAAATTAGCACAAAGGTTACATTTGACAGGGTGCAAAAACCAGAACTGCTGCAAGATGGAGGATGCAGACCTATCTGACATAGAACCAAGGGGCTGTGTGATCACAAGCCTCATGAAATTAAATACCGCTGAAGGACAAAATTAGAAACATAATGTTTATACATACATGCATAAAATAAATGAGTTTTGAGGCTTCGGCATAGACTACACAATCAGTTGTGCTGCCAGAAGTAATAAATTACTTTGCAAGGTAATTTTTGAATGGGCTTCCAGGCTATTAAAATTAATTTTGGTACAGGAATTACTTTACTTTTATCAAATAAGTTCAAACCAATTCAGTTATTTTGGAGGAATTAGTTGACCTACTTTAGATGACTTTTAATTTGTTTTTTTTTTTTTTTTTGCTAACTGAACTTAGAAAAAGAAAAACTGTTGTCGAGAATTAGATCTTGAAGTGTCTCAATTTTTATGGAATTTCACTATTTGCATAATTAAAACTCACTAAAGTTTCAGTTTTTGTAATAGTAGAAATAAAGGCTTAAATTCAGTTTCACTTTACCAGGAAATAAATCACTTTGATGGCAAAACATGAGAGAGATGGAATCTATTGATTTTTTACATAACTTAAAAAAAAATCAGTTATGCTAGCCTTTAGTTTAAGATTGCTAGATATTAGGACAACATTTGATTTCAGAAAATGTACTGGTATGAGTTTGACCTGATGTGCCAAAATTCACTTTTTTTTTGCTTTATAAATTCTATTTTAATTCTAGCTTTAAACTTCAATTCTAATTTTGGTTTACTAACAGTGTGAAAATTATGTAAAATTGCCCTCTTCATAGTAAAAAGAAAAAAAACTTTAACAGTAAAAAGAAAAAAAGTTTGCCATGCTGTAGTAGTAATTTTTTAAATATTTATTATGTAAATATTATCACCTAGTATTCTTGTTCTTATTAGCCATGAACAAGAATATGGAGCAGATGGATGGCTTAACCCATGTTTGTTTTTCTATTTGATGAGCTAATATTTGATTGCTAATATTACTATGTCTTGAACTAAGGTTGGAATGCTATATGATAGAAGAAAAGACTATTATCTATTCACCTTGACCTGGGACCTATTAATATAGTACTACCTACTTCTTATAGTTAAAAAAAAAAAAAGAAAAAGGACTACATGATAATGTGTATAAAGTACTAAGCAAGTGATTGGCAGGCAGTAAGCACCTAATAAATGTAAGTTTTTTTCTCTATGCTTTATCCCAAATCCATTGGGTAGAGCATGCTTAGTAAGCATTTTTAGACTCATTCTCTGAGTATAACATTTGAGTCAGGACAGTCAGAGTTGGGTTTAATATATGAAACCACATAGATCCTTGAGAGAGCCAATGCCTAGTACACCCAAACAGACCTAAATGTGGTGCCCAGAGTGTGAGGCTTTCCCACTTACTTCAGGAAGACCTGTTTTCTTTTAGTGGAATTTCCTAAAAGGATTGTGCCTGTGGATAAAGCAACTCATTTGCTTTTTTTTTTCCTTTTCCGTAATTGAAATGGTATGTAAGTCATCATTCTACTTCCTCTCACTTCTAACATAGTCAGACCAAGATAGCCTGCACTTACTTGAATCAGCATGGTTTCCTCTGTGGTATGCAGTAGGATATTTCATGTTCTCTAATGATTCAAATTTCTCTACTGGATATATTTTTTTTGAAAATGGAACCAAGATATATAACCGCAAATATCTGAGGGCACAAATTAATACTGCATGGTACCAGATATCTAATCTCAGATCACTTGTACAGCTCTTTTGATACACTATTCTAATTCTACCGTCGTTAAAGGCATGAACTGTAACAGAGTTATCCAACTGGATTTTTTAATAAATAAAATTAATCACCTAGTTTGGCATAATGTCAGACTTATTAATGATGCCATTTTGAACTGTTTCTCTGATGAAAGTTAATAATATTTTGCTGACTTGGGAGGAAGTAGTCCACTGGAAGCCTTATTTTATGGTTATATGAGAACAAGGTATTATACATGTGGACTGACCATTCAGTTAAAGCAATAAGAACAACAACTAAACATCTTCTATGAAAGAAGCAACAGGATAGTCT